GTTTTGCCCATTCCTCGCTCGAGCGACGGTCCTTTTTTAAACCCCTTCCCCATTTCTTTTCGCGCATTTTTTTCCTTTCTCTCTTGTTTTTTTTTCTTTCTTCTTCCATTTGATTCCCACCTCTTGACATTACTTGGTTTCTTACATAAGTTTGAGGGCCCTAACCTTGATTCCTAATCCAGATTTCATCTTCTTCATATTGATTTTGAGATATTTTCATTTTTTTTCTTGTTTTTCTCATTTTTGTGTTGTTTCATTGTTCTTGTGTTTTGCTTGCTTGATACGTGCATTATTATGATCCTCATGCATTTCATGATTGGTTTTTGTTGGAACATTTCGCATTTGCCTTCACCATTAAATATGGATCGCGTGTTCTTCCATTGTTTCGTTATGGCATTTTCGTGTTTTTGGTACCATGTTCGTCGTGGTCATTCTTGCATTCCGTTAATCCGTTTGATGTGTGGTTTGTTTCATTTTAAAGCCCTTGGATTCTAGTTTGTGGGCCTATGCTTGGATGCATGCTTGGGTCTCGTATGTGCTTGGAATTGTGTGCCGAAGTGACGCCCATCATGTGTTTGATGAAAGTCCCCTGTTATGTTTTGTTTGTTTTCCTTCGTTTGTGTGCTTCAGCTTTTCCTCCTCTTCATTCCGTCTTTGTTTCATTCTCGTCACGTGACTTGTTGAGTGTTTTTGCACATATTTTTGGTGTATATTTACATCATGCTTGGTTTGCTCTTAGGGTCGTTCACGTTTTTCGATGCATCTCTTTCGTGCCTCATTTATGTGTGCGGTGTTTCATTTCATATTGCATCGTACCCCATGCATTTTTCATCTTACTAATTAAGTTTCCTCTCTCCATGTGCCAGATGGCCCGTAAGCGTTCTCGACCTTCTGCGCAGTCAGCTAGTGGTTCGACGTCGTATAGTCGTTCCAGATTCATTTCTGCTACAGCTCAGGAGGTCTTCACTTCTCAGTTCTCCTTACGCCCCGTTCTCATGAAGCGTGAGGTAATCCTCTCTGACCTTCCTGTTGATATCGTCGCCATTTTTGTTTTCCGGGGTTGGGAGCCCCTTCTTGTTGCTCTTTCACCTCCTCCCCCACTCCTCGTTTAGGAATTCTATGCTAATATTCATGATATAGACGGCTCTTCTTTTTGGGTTACTCTTAGAGGTCATTCTTTTAGGGTTACTCCATCGGCTGTAGCTCATGCTTTAGGTATACCTCAAATTACCCATCCGACTTATCCCTATATTTTACGTGCTTCTATTCTGTGCGATTCTCTTGTTCGGTCAACGCTTTTGAACACCCCGTCTATCGGGGGGCCTTCGGCGATGGCCACGGGGTCATTACCTACTGATCGTCAGATGTTGTTGTGCATAGTGTGTACAAATCTATGGCCGGTTGCCCATACCTCTTCATTACCTATGGTGCGTGCCCATTTTCTTTATGCCCTTCTTCATGGGGACTCTATCGACTTTCCTAATTTTGTGTGCCAGAATATTCTGGCTTCATTTCGTACTCCTGGGAGTCGGATCGGGTTGCCTTATGCTTGCTTGATTCATAGGGTTGCTTTGTCGTTGGGTGCTTCCTTTCCAGAGGGTTCGACTTCTCGCATAGGCTATCCGATAGGACAGCAGACCATTCAACAGAGTCGATCCCATGTACAGTCATCTTCCTCTTCTGCTCATGCTACAGGTCAGGCAGCGGCCGTTGATGTTTTTGATCTTTCGGAGCCCTTTGATCCTATTACTGAGGTTCTTACTGGGGTTCCCGTGTGTTTCTCCCGCCTCGTACGTCTTTTCCTTCAACCATTCCACTTAGCTCTGCCTTTCCTTTGACATCTACTTCTGCTCCTGGGGTGGATGCTTTGCCTGTTGACCCCATGGTGACACTTATGGGACAGATGTCTACTTTGGTCGAACAGCAGGCTCGTATGATGGCAGAGATCACGCAGTTACGTGCTGCGTCGGAGCGTCAGTCAGCTGAGCTTTCTTCTTTTCGTCGTGCTCTTGTAGTGTGTCAGCGTCATTTGCGTTGGATTGGTGATAGTATGGCGAAGGACACGAGTGCTGAGAGCGGAGCTGAGTCTTCAGATGCTGGAGGTGCTGCCTCGTAGTTAGTTAGTTAATTGTTTTGATCTTTGTCCTTTGTGACAAAAAGGGGGAGTAGATATTTGGATAGGTAGATCGATAGATCTTCAATTTTTTGGTAATTGTGTTATACTTCATGACTAGATTAAGTTTTTTGATGTTTTGACAATATTAATGTATGTTTTTGGTGTTTTTTGACTTACATTATTATTACTTCTTAATCTAGTTAATGACATATGATTGATTTCTTGTTTACTGTTTCCATTTCATATGCTTTTACATTTGGTATTTGAGTTTTTGATTTTCAGGAAACAGGTTCAACAAGAGATTGCTACTTTAGTTGAATAGATAGGTTGTTTGGAGTCATGTTTATTTTTGTCCTTGACTGTCATATGTATTTTTGTCACAGAATGCCAAAGGGGGAGTTTGTTAGGAAAATGTGTAATTGGCAATCTGTGACCAAAGGACCTATTTGTCAAAATTGTAAAGTCAAGGACTAAATTGTACAGGTCAAATAGTTCAGGGACTAAAGTTGCAATTTAGTAGAGGTCATAGCATTGATCTAGGGTAAAGTGGGATGCTTTGAAGATGCAAACGGCGTGTTGATGTCGCTGGAGTTTCGCCCTGACCTTGCTAGAGCCAAAATTGCAGAACTGACCTTGTTGGAGTTTCGCTGGTCTATCGCCTGAGCGAAGGTACGTCGCTCGAGTTTCGCCAGGACCTCACTCGAGCGACTGTGTTATCTGGCCTTTGGTAATTTTAATGCCTCGCGAATTTTTAAAGCCTTATATTACTAAATTCGACCTACTATATAAACAAAACGTCCGATTTTCTTAAGTAACCTTTGGAAAACAAAAAAAAAAAAAAACAACAATTCCTCTCAACTTCCGAAGGATAAAGAGCCAAAATAAATTCATGATTTTCATCTTTGATTCTCATGGTTCTTTGAATAAAAACATCAACCCTCACAAAACCAAAACACCCTTTCATATCTCCATATAAACTTCCAGAAGATCATCTGTTTGAAGATCCGGGAAGGAAATTGCTTGAAGAGCTGGAGTGCTTGGTGATTCACAGGAAGTAGAAGATATTCAAAGCTGGGATTTTGGCGCAGATATGCAAAATCAAGGATAGCTGTGGTCAAAACAGTAAGGAGGTCAGAATATTGTTAGAATCAATAATGTCTAACGTACTGTAAGTCAATATCTTCTATAGTGGATCTCTACTGGCTTGTGCCTAGAGTTTTTACCCAGTTGGATTTTCTCCGTCAACATTTTGCTGTGTTTTTTACTGCTTTCTGTTATTTATTTTTCAACTGATAATTCAACTTAGGTAGATAAAGTATGTGAATGAATCTAGGCAATGCATAATTGATGTGACTTGTTGCATCTGTTAATTAATTGTTTTAATTCCGCATAAACACCTATTCACCTCACCTTTAGGTGTTGATTGGGTCGAACTATTGCTTTTTCAAATTTGATATAGACTATTGCATAGGCACATGCTGTCATGACACGGTGTATAACTGTAATGGATTATAATTAGTTGTCGATTTATGGCGTAGCATTATTGTAGCCGGTTTGATGGTCAAGAGTTTCTTAAGCGTGGTAAAATCATCTTATCTCTCAGTCCATATACCGTCCTTATAAACTAGTAATATGATTCCATTTTTTCTATTTCTTCTTTTTGCGCTTAATCTTGTTAACTATTTAAGATGAATCACATTTTTTAGCAAATATAATATCCTAATTGTCGAAAATAACTTCTAATATAATGACAATAGATCAACAAAATTTAGAATAATATGAAAAATAAATCAGTCCAGATGCATTGTAGGGGAAGGTTGTGCTAATAGGACAATTTTACCAATTTCTGATAGAATTCATGTTTAAAGTCTCTTTTATAATATTACAAGAAACATAATGATGTAATAATTTGTAAGCGCCAGTAGATTTGAAGACTCTAGACTTTATATGAGTCGTGACTTCCACAGTATTTTGCATATGATAATTTTCCTTATAAAGTTCCCTTCAAGAATGAAAGAGTGAATAAATTAAAATAAATAAATATTATTTATGAATATTTTCAATTAGCATTCCCATAAAAGGTACTTCCATTATTCATTCAGCTATAGGAGAAGAATCCAGTGGACAAACATTGTTTTTTCCTCTATTAGTAGGCTTGTTTGATCCCCCACGCTAAATGGGAAAAGAAAAGATAAAAGTAAATTGATGAGTTTAGCGTTCCCATCTCAAAAAGGAACAAAATTATAAACATATTATATTTTCTTTCCAAATAAAATGTTTGGCGTAACTTTTTATGAAGTTAGAAATTGACATCTTTGAGTTGTTTGACTTGCAGTATTCAATTATCCTGAGGAAATATAAAAAACATAGAAATCCATGAATAGTAAATTATATATTGCACGCCTCTTCATGTTTACTGCATGCCTCATCTATTTGTTAGACTTTGAGACACAAACATTTACTTATAATTGAGCGAGCTACAGTGGTTGGAGTTTAAATTGTGTGGTGTATGAGGCTAGTAAATATTAAATAACTTAGTCCAATATTTTCTTTAATCAAACTTGTAACATTGAATCTTTGTTCTTCTTTCATGCATAAAATCTTGAGACTATAGATTTAGACAATAAAAAAGGGTGCCAAAATTACATCATGCACTAGCATGGCATATTTTTTCCGACATTCATTTATTGCACACTTTAAATATCAATTTAATTTTTTCTAAAAAATATTTATTTGATTAGAAAACTCATAAAAATTAAAGATGGAAATTATTTATATCAATACATATAATTTTGCTATAAATAATCTCAATAAACAAACATACTGAATGCGGTCCAATAAAATATGTCAAAATGTAGAGTTAATAATTACCAAGAACGTAATTAGCCTAGTCAAAGAAAAGTTGATAGCAATATACCAAAGTATAGATTACAACTCAAAATATAGCCTATTCAAATAGAACAAAATAATCGTTTCTTGATCAAGTTCTTTAACTTTCTTTTTGGCAAAGGTATTTCTCTGCCGTTCATGGTGATTCTGGCTCCTCTTCTTCTTTCCCTTTCTGGTCTCTAGTAAATTTTCTTCAAGGTTCTTGAAATAAATGATGTACAATAACAATAATCAAGAAACGTGAATCTTGGATATTTTCTGATTTCTTGTAATAAAATTGCTAAGAAACTATTCTAAAATAATGTACTAAAAATGAATACAAATCAAGAACATCTTATGAACTATTGCATATGTTGGCAACAGTTAATCTTTTATATTACCAAATTTATGGGGTTTGACTTTATAGCAAATGATCATGAGGGAATCTGGGAAAACCAACAAATGTGAGAATTGTCTTCAAACAAGGTACGTCTAGCATCGTTTGAAAAATTAATAAAAAAATATCAATAGTAATAAAGGAGAGTTAAAGAAGAACGAGACAACACGATTTCTTTCGATTATTCAAGAAATGATTATGGATTATGACAGCAAAAAAATATCATGATAACAATGCAAAAACTAGTTCTTTCCAGATCATGTGAAAGCAATACCAATCATATCACGAGCGTAAGATAACAGGCAGTCGCTGCACATACTAGTAGATCCAAGTCCATTTAGAAACGCATAAATTGGTGAAATTACTGGAAGCCCTATTCATTGTCTCTAGTATCGAATCGAACCCAATTTCTAATATACTTACAACATAGTTTTGGGCTTGTGAATCCTTAATGATCTCCTTTGTTAATGAATATTAAGCTTTTACTAGAAATCCCCTGCCGGAAACTTGGTTTCACCATTCTTAAATCTGCTAAACATTCGAATAATAATGAAGCTATAATGTCCATTAGAAAGAAGAGCTATTGTCATTTTCCAAACCTAATCAAAAGAAATAAGCTAGTACCTTGCGTAAAACAATTAATCACATTCATGGCCATTGATTGATTCCAATCCCTTCACTCGGAGACTAAAAACGCTCCAGACCCGAACTATCTGTAAATATTTAAAACTTACTCCAAGATTCTCTAGCACCAAAATCAACTGACGCAGGTGCATATTATGATTTCGAGAAAATTGTAAAGGAGGTCGATTAGGTGAAGGAGAAGATTTTGCAAAAAGGGATAAGGGTTTGGACTGCAATGAATGGCTGATTGATGACGATGCCAAGATCGATTAGGCAGAGAGGAGAAGAAAGAAACCGAAATGGAAAGGAAAAAGAAAGGAGGAGGGAAACGGACCCGGGGGGGTGAGGGTGGTGGGGAAGAAAGAAATGAAAGGAAAAGAAATGGTAAAGAAAAACAAAGAAAGATAAGAAAGCGAAAAGAAAATGAAAGAAAAGAAAAAACAAATGTGCCGCTATTTAACTTCATAGTTTTTATATATTCACTCCACTTTATATACATTCTTATTAAAATATTAAAATTTTTAAAAATTTATTATTTTCACCCATGTCAAATTTCAATATTATCCTTATTAAATTTATTCATTCAAATAGTAAAGTTCCACTCGAATTTATTTATTCATTCATATATAAATACATCCCTAACACAATTTCAAAAATTTTAAAAATTACTCTATTCGTCCAATCACTATCAACATTTAATCTAATTCTTAATTTTCGTTTTCTTTGTTGCCATATCGGTGCTTTAGTATTTAATTATAAAGGTTACCAAATCTTTTTACTTAAATCTATAGTATTCTCTAAAGAGCACACTGCTCATACAACTAAACAAATCTTTCTTCAAATCATATGCTAATTATTAATATTTTTTTCCCCTATAAGCTAGTAATTTTGGCCGTTTGTTTTAATAAATATTAGTGGATAAATGTAGAATATTATATTTTTATTTAATTTTATATATGTTTATTTAGGAAATTTTACATAAAATTAAAAGTTTAATACAATTATCTTTTAAAAAAGTGGATATGTATATAAAAATTGTGGATGTAAATAATGGTACCAAAAAAAAAAATTTGGTAAATTTTGTTACAAGATTCATATATGCATGCAATAATAACCTCGTTTTTATTTTTTTTTTATTTTTTTATGGCGTGCAAGAATGCAAGTCGGCTAAATCTAATTTTTAGCTTAAATTTTTACGGCGTGCGATGTTAGTGCCGTATTTTTTTGACGGAACATTATCGTAAGTTATTAATATATCACTTTTTAAAAAAATTAAAAATCACAAAATAGTTGATTTTTAAAAATCACAAATTGAAAATTATGTTGTAAATATTCAAAATTTACACCGTGCCCAAAATATATGTAGTAAAAACTTAAGTAATTAAATTATTACAGCACACATTTAAGGCATGTAGCAAATAGTTTATTTTTATTGCATGTCTTATAAGCACACCTTGAATAAATGCCATAAAAAGCTACTTTTATTATGGTCTATTATTAGTAAAGTAATTGTAGATTTCAATTACGATGTTTCAATGTAATTAGTGTGGCATTTCACCAATCCACACTTGATCTTTGTTAATAATCTGTGAGCTCCATGTACGTATTTGTGTCAAAGATATGTGTCTGATATTTGCTATAAAATGTGTATACTGCAAGTACACAAATCACGTACTAGCAATAAAGTGGACTAAAGAGTCCTAACAGTTGATCCCCTGATGAATGATCACTTAATTATACAATATCATATTGAATTCTAACAATGAAACACACATTAAGATTTGATTTTTAAAACAACATAATAACTTAAAATTCAACGAAAATAACAAAATAATCAAATCTAAAAATTTAGGAATGTTTGGATATTAAAATAGTTATGATTCATAAATTAACTAGCTTAAATAAATTTCTCAATAACCAATATAACTAAATACCCATTTTAATTGCAAGACTCAATTTTCCGATTTTAGCTAGTCACTCACTCGAGTGAAATCAATCCTAATCAATTGGTTTAAAGTACCAAGTCTCCATGATGATCAACATATTGCATTATTTCTTTGTGAAAATAATTCAATAAATTACTTAGGGTTAAGAATATATCTCTATCTCCTTCATAAATCTAGAGCATCTACTATTTGATCTAAAATAACTACTATTCTATCAAAAATTGTACAAATCACTCGATACAATCATTTTATAATGGCCAAATAAATGAAAAAAAAATTAAATATAACATTAAGTACACATAAATTAAGTACCTTAATATCAAAAAGTACACAAATCAAACTAAATTAAGCTACATCAATCATTACTGTAGCATCTCAAATTTTCATAATACTTATACTGTTACAAAAAACTTACTTCTCTTTATGTTAAAAGTAAATTTCTTTATAAAAAAAACTGAAATATCAATAAAATTAAACCAAAATATGAAATCATATCTTGAAAAAATAAAATAAACACCTAACTAATTAAATAACATGTCTTTCAACGAATTAAACTAACTAATAAATTTAAAGACTGAGAAATTTAATGTTTATTTTCCCTTTTTTCTTCAATCCACTTGGCAGCCCACATCACCATCATGCAACATATCCAACTGACCTGTATAAACCTATAAAAGGTAACTTCTTTAATCATTCATATTTTGGGCCTAACTTATCCGAATTAACTTTTCACAAGTTCATAACGCGTTATTTAATATGAAGTATAAAACTAGTCCAATATTGATATAATAATCTCGCTCTATGAAAATCTAATTACTTAGCCTGAAAATTAATATTATGTCACTATAGTCCTTAAACTTCCAAATATTATATATCAAAACATCTAGAATATATAATTTTATTGAATAAGATTTCCAGGGTGTTACATACATGTACAACCTCTCTATGCATTTTCAAAGCTCTAATTATGTTTGACACATAAATCCAATTATACTTAATCTTTTAGTGACAATATATCTCATTCCATGCTAGCATGAACAATATTCATATAAAATGTGAAAATTTTTCAACTAATAAATTATTTGAGGTAAATATGCTTATTCATTTCATACGATGACTCATAATTATGTTAAAGGATGAAATTTCATTCCATACAGCCATGAATGTGGACCAGCCATTACAAACATAAATATTAACTCATAATTAAGCTAAAGGATAAAATTTTCAACGTTAGATGTTTTGTCTCACGTCTGATATTTGTCTTTCCTGCTTATGAATGTGGACCAGCCATCACCAACTTCATCTTCAGATTCTGAATCAGAATTCCAAAAAATTCAAATCTTCTGTCATAATTTCATAAAAGGTTGGACGATTGGGTATGGTTTTCCATCCCTTGGTAGATGTATGTGATGGTGACTTCTCCATCTAACTCAAACTTTATTGGGATAGCTCCTTTTGGAAGTTGAAGTCCAAACTCAGTCACATTGCCCAAGGACTTACCTCTATCATATATAAGAGGAAATGTCTTCTCCTCCCTTTTAATGGGAATTGGATCTAATGATCCAAATGATACCATCAAGCAAGCAGCGGTTGGATTTTCTCTAGTTTCAAGTTTGATCTTATTTTCTTTGTCCAAATGAACAATAAGATCTTTTAACATGAAACATTTTTCCACTGGATGACTAATGATTCTACGAAATTTACAATATTTAGGATGACCGGTTTTACCAACTTCTTTTGGTCTTTTTGGTGCTAGAAGATCGATTATCTTGTGTTCAAGAAGCTGATCTAGGATTCCAGAAACTTTGGAATATAAGAATGGGTACTCTTTCTCTTTAAGTTCCTTTAGTGTCACATGACTTCTGTTTCGAACTTATCCCCACCTTCGTGGAAGAGTGGCATAATAGGATCTAGATACGAATCTGCCATTGGAGATGGGACTAGAATGAGAGTTTTTGGCCAAACTCTTGGTCTTTTCTATCGAACGATAGTCTGGCTTCTTAAAAGCAATTTTCATTTTGCCTTTGTTAAAGAACTTCCTCGTTGGTTAGACCGGTTGAGTTTTTCCAATTTTTGTTTGGGCTCTAGTTGCTAGGCAGTGTTTAGCGAGTGTTTCTTCAAGATGGGTTATAGCTTTGAAATCTAAAATTTAATTTAAAAGTTCATATGGGGTGGCACATCTAAAGAGAGAAATAAAATGTGTTTGTACATATTATAGGTCTTTAACTTTTATATGTGTGTAATGTAAATGAGGCAGAGAATATACATTTCTCTTTCCAAAAATAGATTCAGCAAAGAATAAAGGTTGATCTAATTATCTGCTACATCAGGCAACAAGATGCAACCTCAACCTCTAGTCCCACCATACCTTTACCATTAACTTAATAAGGTCCTTTCAATCATCTTTATGTAAGCTATAAAAATGACACTCAACACATTCGAGGCAATATAATTTTCTATTGCACCATTTTAATCCTCAAAATTGACATCATGAACCAGCTAGCAGCAATTTACACCTTCACCTTAGACATCATTTGGAGCTAGGAAAGATCGCACATTAACTTTACCATTAATTCAATAAACTTCTACTTTGGAGTTGAAGCTACCTTTCTAATTCTATTGTAAATATTAGACCTGGACTATAGAGGGACTACCATTGTAATCCAATTTTCATTATCAGTCACATAAGCATTCAATGAGGAATAGGGAGCCACATTTGTAACCACTTAAGTGCTTCCATATCTATTTTTATAGCTCTCCCAGCAGCTTCCATTAAGAATATATCCTTTTTCAACTAGAAAAATGAGACAAGCCACGAGGTACCAAATATTATAGGCATCACAAACCTCATAAACATTGCAGGACTAGAGAAACTAAAATGTAAGCATCGATTGCATTTTGTATTACTTACTTCAAAGAATGTAAACTTACCCAATCAAAACACCAATGGAGATACAAAATGATATAGCATAATTTATTGTATTAAGTGGTGTCGTACACTATCAAAACTCAAAAAATTTATATTCTTTGCTTTTATTTAATATACCGTTAAGCCCATCTATTTCTATATGTATTTATTGCGATTTTTTTTCTTTTTTCAAATCCAAACCCGATTGAGGTCGCCATGTTTGTTTGCAAAAAATTAAAAAATGCATAAAAATACATTTTTTACTATAATTTATTGAAGATGGTAGTAAAAGGCAAAAAAATGCACAAAATGAACAAGCAAGATTTATAAATTGAACATTTGGCATATGAGACTTTGTGAAGTAAAACATATGTTTTGCCTTTTTTCCTCTAAAATGGAAAAATATTTTCTACTTGTATCTGTATATTTTTAAATAAATGAAAAAATAATTTATTTTCGCAC